CAAGTATTGCTAAATATGGTAGGAATGTGTATGGTGAGAGTAGGTACTAACTGTTTCCAATTCATTGAAGTTTATTGACTGAATTCATGTAATGAAAATTTGAACTCTATCATGACCCCAGAATCTCAGATTAGACGAGAAGTTATTCATGAAGATGGGACTCCTCGACTTGATTGTGGTGCATAATGGTGTTATCGTGGTGGAGTAATCAGCTGTTAAGTCATATGGAGTTTAATCTAGGGAAAAATAAATAAATCAAAGAATAAATTGTTTTTACATGTGAAGCATGCGACCTTTTTCTTCTAATAAAATGCAATGTTAATTATATTTGTCAATAATGAGGGTAAGTGCGACTAAATTTTTAATTAATTTATTGCTAATGACAGACAACAGTATGGTTTTATTCAACCTTAATTACAGTAAATTATACCAACCTTAAGGCCCTAAACCCTTGTCCACATTTATAAATTCCAACACCCCCCCTTCACCTCATTCCCCTTCTCTCCACTCTCTCTCTCTCTCTCTCTCTCTCTCTGTATGTGCGCTCGCATTGAAGATATTTTGTGTCAACGTCACATCGTTGTTTTCCAGGAGAATTATCGTAAGTTGCCTTTCTCTTCCTTTTCTTTCATCTAATTTCTTCGCGCAAACGAGCGCGCACACAATGGATTTTTCTCTATTAATTGAGTGCTGTAATTGAATTTTCTTTATTAATGTTTCATTTTAGGAAAATATTCATGCGTGTAGGAATTGAATTTTAATCCGATGATCAATCGCCGATTGTAATTGTTGATTATTGTCTTTCGCCGGCGTATTTTGAATATTTTCACCGACGACGGCGACGGTTAAATTTTCCGGTGGATTTTGGTTTTTGAGTGATGGCGATCGGTCAGTTACAAACCAATAAGCGATTGGCGCTCGTTTTTTGGCTGCAAATCTGAGGTGCCCCTCCACCACGCGATTTTTCTGCGTGGGGAGGATGAGTAATGAATTTGGGAGCGCAAGTGTAGACACGCGCTCATTTCGGTTACTTTGTTTTTTATGAAAATTCCACCGCAACGTGTGTGTTGGGCCCAGATGTCTTGACTGGGCCAGGAGTCCGTGTTGATCTCTAGGCCACAGGTTCCTTGGGTAGTGTTTGCAGGTGACAGTACCTGATTATGGGCTTATGTAACTAAGCTAAAAAACAATGTTTTTCTAATTTCTTTATTATTTATTTATTTATTTATTTTTATCTCTGTAACTTTTTATTTTTAAACATGTATTGACATGGAAAGTTTCTTATTTTGAAAATAATTTTTACTTTATACTCAAATAATTAACATGGATTTTCCATGGCCAATTCACAGATCTCGATTTGTGCAGATGACTCTAGGTATTATCTCAAATATTTAACAACTTTTAAAGCTTTTTTCAAACAAGTACTGTATATTGAAATCATTTTAGCGGCACACGTAACTCAATTTTTCTCATTCTAGATAAAATGTTTGTATCCTTTACAAATTCAGAGTTTCTAGGAATTTTGAATTTGTCAACTTTGAATATGGAAAATTCTTTAGACTCAATAACAACCCAATTTTTTTCTTAGTCCAGTTTTACAAGATTCCTTGCACATTTTCTTGTCTACTAAATCACTCAATCACTCGAAAATCTAGAAATTCTTTTGAGCCCTTTAAGAATCAATCACTAAGGCTTTGTTTGAATGGCCATCAATTCCATGAAAAGTGAATTCCACTTTCCACATTTTGCATTGTTTGATTGGATTTTTCTACCATGGAATTTAATTTCCAAGTTTTCCAATCATGCGTCTGAATTCCAAATTTTTGAGGAATTCCAATTCTTATGGGTTTGGTGAGAATTGGAATTCCAGGCAAATTTTTATTTTTTTATTTTTATTTTTTTGAAGCAATGGGAATTCTATGCCTAATTACAAAAAAAATAAAAAATAAAAAAAAAATTATTTTTCTTCAATTGACATTTTTCATGTAAAATAAAGCCAAACGAACACCAAAATATAAATGACTTTTTTGGCCTTTTTTGGGCAATGTAAACAAATTTTATCCCAATATTAATAAATTTTATCTTTTTAATTGACAATTTTCTTGTATAACAAAGTCAAATGAACCAAAAAAAAAATACTTATTTCAACATTTTTCACGTGAAAAATTATACAAATCAAACAATAATTTACAATTTCTAGAAAAACAATTTCTAGACAATTTAATTCTCTGAAATTTATTTTTTTTCCGTCCAAATTTCATTTTTCAACCAAAAGAATTCTAATTAAATACGATTATTTAGTCAATTTCACATTCATTACCTACCCAAAACTGAAGTTCCAGGTAGTTTCTTGGACATGGACTTTTTCGCCCTATATTATGTGTCCTGTCCTCTAGTAGAAAACTCGTTAAAGTGATTTGGAAAGCTTATTAAAGCATATTCTACGTGTCATGTCCCTATTACTAATGGGTCCTACCTTCTTGAAAATTACACCACTTTTTTTAATTTCTTTCATGTTTCACTTTTTTTTGTCGGTCATTGAATAATTTTATTTTCTTGGTATTTACTTTCCTAGGTTCATACCTAGTATGGACAAGTCGAGGCTCGCACGTTTATACGGGAAAGAATCTATAAGGTTTCATGTGGGGAAAGAAATTTGACAGTGTCAATTGTTGTGTCTTTCATGGTATAAATTTTTAAAAATTAAGAGTGTTATGAGCTTTAATAAGCTACTTGCTTTGAATCGACCTTTGAGATTTGCATAATATTTTTTGTTTGAAAGTGGGTGATTTTATTGTGTTTTGGATTGGTCAAATTTTTAGAATTTTAGCATCGAAGATTATGTTGCTATTTGACTAATTAGTTTTCTAGCAAAGTACACTCTTCAAATCACAACTTTTGAGTCATGAAAATATTTATTGGCTAGTCGACATTAAATTCTCGAGATTTGAGACTAATCATACTCACGAGGGTATTTTGACTTTGAAATGCATCAGAAGAGGAATCAACACTAGTTTATTGGGTGTCAATTACTCCTTGATTTTTCATAAAAACACGAAGAATTTGGCACTGAATTTTCAATAAAAAATTTTAAACCCCAATTACATCTTTGTTTATTTTTGTGTTAATTTATAGCTAAAAAGTAATTAGGGGTTGTACTTTTTGCATTTGTATTGAGAAATTGATTAAGCTGATTAAATTTCTCATGGCAGGTACAAGTCTTTCATAGGGATTCATTAAGTCGTGGATTCTTGAAGATATATTTTTTTCTTCAAAGTCAAGATACATACCTCTATTTCTACTATCAAAATGTTGATCAATCAATTATTTGTACCTAAATAACACATGCTATACCCCCATTTCTGGCTAATAATCACTTCTTCTAGTTTCATGTTTTCTTTCCGGCATTTCTGCTAAACTTACAAAATAATTTTCCCTTTTTCTCCCACTCGCGAAAATTTGTTTTCAATTAAATATTTTTGCATAAAGCTTATTGATTTGGTGCTTGTTTGCTATGGGAAATTGTATTCCCGTTGCAATTTTCAATTTTGTACTCAGCTTTCGATACAAACTACCTTTATCATTTGATATACATATCGTACATGACGACGTCAATGAATTTTGACCATTCATATACTGTTCATCGTCTAGAATCCTATTACACCAACCAAGATACATACATGAAATCGAATTTGATCATTGACTCCAAACATGTCTCTTTTCTGAGCCTTTTTTTTTTTCCCCCTCTCTTAAGATATTCACACAAAATATTTGTGGTTCTCTCTAGAGAGAGTCTGAGAGAAAGAAAGATGGCAAAACATTTGGCAGCCGTTGGAACTTAAGAAGTTGGTAGTTGGTGGTGGAACCAACTACTTTATATAAAGCGATTTTTTAATGAACACGTTTGATTAAGACCCAACTTTAAAGCTGAGTCACTCGAATACGATTTTCAAATGAAAAGAATATTAAAAAATTCCTCACACTTTTGAGTTTTATTTTTTTATTGTTTTAATATCAATCTTTTTTTCCCCTCTAAAGTGACCCTACTCTTTTATACATTTATTTGCTGTAATTTATTTGTTTTGATAAATTTAGACCACCCATTGGAAGAAACTATCTAGTTTTTATCTTTTACTATGTGATAATCAAATTTGTTGGGTTCGTTATGGTAAATTTTAATCGGAATTAAGAATCACGATTAAACCAAGATTATCAAACCAGCTTCAATATTATCATTGAAAAAAAAGAAAAAATTCTCTGGAAGTGGGAAAAACAAGGGTTTTCATGTTCATGCATATTAATGTGGGTCCCGCATGTTTTCTTAACAATAAAAGCATTTTTTTAATGTGGCTCGTTGATGAAGACTTGATTGATTTGAAATCTCATTCTATTGTAACGTATGGTATTTTTCTTCTATGCCTTTTATTTTTTATTTGATGGGATGATCTTCTTTAACTTGCACCTTTATTGATATTTTAAACGTCGACTATACTTTATTCTCTCTATCACATTTTCTAGATACATTGAATTCAATATAGTTCCAACCGATACATTATTATTTTGATCATGTCAAATCATTCACTTCGTATATAAAACGTGTCGTAAAGGGATAGTGCGAAAGCCCAATTCATAATTTATTGGTTTTTCCTCTTAATTTTTGTTCCTGAATATGAGTAAAACTCTAAACGTGACTACTTTTTCTTATTTTCTTAACAGATAATGGTGAAGGAAAATATCTGGAGGCTTTACCGGGCCATGGGCCTTCAGAAATGGCTCTCCAAGTCGCAGATTATTGAGCCCATTTCTGGGGAAATACAAGAAGTTGGGCCCACTGATTCTGTTCTTAGTGGGCCAGTTACTGAGGATGGAAAATATATTTCTTGGCGGGTAAGTAGTACTATAGTAATTGCAATTTCTAGTTAAATAATTTATGTTGACGACTCTAAGTTTATTAAGAACAATACCTAATACGTTGTCCTTTGATGATAATTTTTTTTTTCCATACCATGTTTAAGATAAATTCGTCAAAGGATGTTACATTGTTAATGTTGTACTAATTTCAGAAGGAACACCCTTGTGCACTTTCTTCACTTCCTCGGATGCTGAACTCTGCGAAAGGGAAGCAAATTGTCGTGTTTTTAGATTATGACGGGACTCTTTCACCAATTGTGAATGATCCAAACCGCGCCTTCATGTCTCCTCCGGTAAATTTTAGTTATTCTATTACGACTCTCAAAATCATGCTACAAATTACGATTTATTTTAGTTAGTGAAATAAATTTTGTAGATGCGCTCGGCTTTGCATGAAGTAGCAAGGCATTTTCCAACAGCTATTATAAGTGGTAGAAGTCGAGACAAGGTAACTTAGTACCAATTTATGTCATAACATGGGATTCTCTTTCTTTTCTTTTGGCATAAAATGTGTGCGCGCGTGTTATCAGGTATATGAATTTGTTAAGTTAGACAATGTTTATTATGCTGGAAGCCACGGGATGGATATTATGGGGCCTCCATTGCAAGTTGAGTCTTACCACGACAAGCATCAGATAAATGCTCATGATAAAAAGGTCAGTTTCGGAATGTCTGACATACATCCACAACAGTAGCTTTCAAGCATAGCCAAACATGCTCTAAGACTTTGCCGAGGTCCCTGTCTATAGTTGAATGTTACATATAATTTCCAACTACTTGTCTATGCATAAGTCACTGATTTGTTATAATCATTTTGCAGGGTAAAGAATTCACCATTTTCCAACCTGCTCAGGAGTATCTGCCCTCAATTGAAAAGGTAATTTTTACTTAATTTGGTTAAGTACTTCCTCTATATGGTTAATTCATTAGATCAAAAACCTCTATATGTTCCATGTTTACTTCGTTTGTTCTAATGCAATTTAAACAAATAAATTTCTTCTTGTAACAGATGCTAAAGGAGTTGAAAATCGAAACCTGCAGTATACCAGGTGCTTTCGTAGAGGATAATAGGTTCTGTATTTCTGTGCATTACCGGCATGTTTTGGAGGAGGTACTAAAACATACAAAGTAGTATTTTCTATGTTAGAAGGGACAAAAAAAACTTTTATTTGACTTAATGAGGCTTCTTCATCTAATGTGCAGGATTACGAAGCTTTAGAACAGATAGTTTGGTCAGTACTTTCCGACTATCCTTGCTTCCATATGACTCGGGGGAAGAAGGTTATGGAGATTAGGCCATCAATCAAATGGAACAAAGGAGATGCTATCGAATACTTACTTGACACTCTTGGATTTGTCGACTCTAGTAATGTCCTCCCTTTTTACCTCGGTGATGACAAAACTGATGAAGATGCTTTCAAGGTTTTCATCCATTATGTTTGATCATAACCACTTTGTATTGGATTTCTTAAGGTTGTCAATAATAACATTTCTTGTTTGATTCATAGGTACTTAAGAGAAGAGGACAAGGGTACCCCGTAGTTGTATCTTCCATCCCATGGGAAACCTCAGCTTCATATTCACTATTCGATTCATCAGAAGTATTGTCTTTTTTGGTACGTCTGGCAAGGTGGGGAAAGTCATTGGCCTAATGGATCATCTTATCAAGACGTATTGCTTTCTGTATAGATGTTCCTAGTTAAGGTTTTAGAGATAGATCGAGGAAATTGGATAGGAATTCACAGGCGTAATTTTTGAAGCTCCTGTGTATTCTCCCATTTAAACGACTATTATTATCAGCAACTTGCAGTCGTGTAGGATTCAGTGGTTATGCAGTAAATTTAACATTTTTTTTTCCACCTTGAGTCATTGTTAAATTTGTTAGAACGCAAAAGAACAATTATCCAAGTTCTGTCACTACTTATAATTTAATTTGATTTCTATTTTCAACGTGTATCTTGTCATGTCCATGAGTGACTCTATTTTCAGTAGGCAATGCATTTAGACTCGCGTCTTATGTCTAATTACATGTTGTGAACATACTACTACTAGAACTTATTGCATCATATCTATACGTATTAATACTTTCAAACAAATGTAATATTTCAACATTGTCTTCTTCGATATCAGCGAAAGGATTAGGTCTAGAAGGTAACCGACTAATATTTACACTCATTCGTTTCGTATATAATTCATATATTTCACATAAAATTTGTTCTAAATTTCTACAAGTATTAGGTGTATTAAAAGTTAAAAGTTTTTGAAATGTGATCAATTATATATTTAGCACTTGATAAATTGTATCGGGGTCCATGATGCATGTTAATGGAAATAACATAAGAAATCTTTTCAATATTTTCTAAATTTTAATTCCATAGAACATATAAATTCACTAAAATCGAGGTCATTTTAATATTTATGATAAGCCATTGTACTATATAAAGATGTTTAAGACTCTAAAACTATTGGGATAGTACACTCCAGATAAAATATTCATAGAGTCATAAAAAACTTGCCAAAGTTTTTTCAATTTTAAAAGCTAAAAGCCAATCAGATTTATTCAAATCATCGTTTCTAATATGCCTATTGTTATGAAATTTAGTTTAAATCATTCGCATAATTTTAATAATAAGTGGAGTTCCATCTATGTCCTATTTCATTAACAAATGTTTTCGTATTCGTCATATATATATATATACACACACACACACACACACACACACACACACACATATGTACAATTAAATTAAAAATATAACAAACACAACGAACATAAAATAAATAACCACCAAAATCGGGCTGCGGTACCCTACCCAATTTATCAAGAACTGACTTATTAACACTAGTATTGTCAAATGTAAAGAATGAATTTTACTCTCACAATGATATTCTATTATAATGTTTATAATAGCGTTAAATATATTGTTGGCGTTATGGGAACTCAATAATTTTAAAAGCAATTATTATTATTATTATTATTATTTTATGTACACACCAAAGTGATTCTGACTTCTGAGTAGTGTGCAGTTGTAACTATATAACTTCTTTTATTAATTCATTTCCATAAATCTGAAGTTAAAGATAAAGCCTCTAATATTTTTGCAAATCAATAATAAATTATTTCATTGTATTAAGAGAATATTCTATTGTATCGGAACGGAAATTGTTTCTGTTTAACGTATGAGACGAAATGTTGGTTATATAGTAAATTTTTTTTTCTTTTCCTTGTGTCATTGTTAAATTTGTTATTAAAACGCAAAAGAACAATTATCCAAAGTTCGTCACTACTAATGATTTGATTTGACTTCTATTTTCAATGTGTACCTTGTCATGCCATGAGTGATTCTATTTTGTGTCATGTCGTGGGCGAACAATATATTCGACAAAATTTTGGACATTTGAGGCCCCTGTTTGGTGGCCATTATTTTGGAATAATGTGGTGAAAAAATAAGGAAAAATTTTGAGTTTACGTGCAAAATATTTTATTGTATAAATGTATGGTTAAAAATGATCCTAGAAAAAGGAGTTTTAAAACACTGGGAATCAAACGGAGAAGAAATGTGAAACCACATGTTCTAAAGAGGTAATCTACTAACTTTCTACAAGAAAAAGATGTAATATAATTTAGAGGGGTGACAGTGTTTAAAATTATTGATTAATGGCAGAGACAGAAATTAGATAACAAAAGTACTAGGATGGATGGTAATTAATTACAAGATCATCTTGTCTCCCTTTTCTGTGGGTGACTTTTGAATTCAGTGACAGCAATGCTTCTTTCAAAATAAATAAGGTACTATAGAGTCTTATTGTTAATGAAATTTGTACAGTGGTGTCAAAAGGTGGTCGGGTCATCCGAGCTAGGCGTTATTACGTGGTCTATTGCCACCCCTAGATTGTTCTATTTGAAATTTCGCATCAACTTTAAAGTGATGAGATTTTCAGTTAGTTCGATTTATAATGATATAAGAGGGACACTTTTCGGCATAGTTCCATGGAGGGAGCTGGTTTGATCTTGAATTCAAACCCTCAACCTCCATTATCTACATTATATATATATATATATATATAGGAGAGTAAAGGAAAGGGAAAATCTTGGTAAAAAGTTCTACAAAATTTCAATGAGACAGCAGTTTAAAACTTGGGGATTCCTGAGATAAAGCACAAATTGAATGCAGTTCTTTTGTATAAATTACTAGTTGTCCTAAATATTGTCAGAAAATGGTAGCAAAATATTTGAAGGGTAAAAATTGCCACATTTTGTATTTATAATTGTGACCTGCTATCTATTCTCTGTACAGACCACCACCGACCCCAGCACCAGCCCTACAGTTGATAAAATAATTGAAAACAGAGATGAAGACTCATGCTAATACAAGCTCCTCTTCTTCCTGTTGCTGTACCAGTTCGTCAGATAATCGTCCATTGCTGTAGGGAAGAAGAATGCGCTTTATGTCTTCTGAACTAAGCGTCTCGTACTCTAGAAGTGCACTTGCTAGAGCATGCAACGCCTTCTCGTGCTGCAAAAATGAGTGAAAAAACATCAAATTTGCTGCAAATCACTAAAATCGGTTTCATTAGATGGTTACTGTAAAGTTTTTCAAGTGAACCTTCTTCAACAGGGCTTTTACGCGATTATAAGCATCCCTCAGTAGCCTGACCACCTGTGCAATCAATGAACAGATTAACAATGGTATGATATATTTTCAATATAATGAAGTCACGGCAAACTGCAAAAGCATACTTCAGCATCAATACGGGATTGCATCTCTGAACTGGGCCGTTCTTTAATGTGGACAGGTCCAATTGCATCGCTCATCCCACAAGATGATACCTTGCAAGAGAACAAAAATGATCAGAACATTTCAACTTTTTGATCAATTTTTCCATCACGTAAAACCTCACAGTAAATTTGATTATGAAGAAAGACTCTTTACTAAAGGTATTATAAACAATCTGTGCAGAACATCAGCGTGTGTAATACTCCGATAGACTATTCTAAAACAAATAAGTACATGTTTGGTGTGCTTGATTGGGCTTAAGAGAAATGAGTTTAAGTCTTTTCCTTTAAACTATGCACATTAATTTCTGGTATTATGTACCAAATGTACCCTAGAAGTTTTTAAGTCTTTAAAAGCAACTCAAATGCACAATATGTTCAGAGGACAGAAGACCCCGCTGATCCAAAATACCAGTGTACCATACACCATGTCCCTCAGTCCTGTCACAATCCTCCAAGTCCGTCAATGCAATTTCTACCCCAAACCACACCCAAAGAAGCATAACAGGGAAAAAGCAAAACCGAAACCCAAGTAACACGAGCTATGAAGAAGGAAACAGAAGCAAGCACGGTGGATGGATAAGGTCACATTCTTCCAAAGAAACACTGCCCAGATTTTACATATTTTGCCAAGTATATAAAGAATGAGTACGTAAACTGCTTGATAGTATGGGGAGTACCATGTACTGAGCAAGCTCCGTAGCTGTGTGTAGATCACTACTTGCTCCAGTAGTAATATGGTCCTGGCCAAAGATAAGTTCCTCTGCTACTCTTCCACCCATACAAACGTCAAGCCGTGCTAGCAGTTGTTTCTTGCTGATTGAAGTTTCATCATTAGAAGGAAGCTGGGTAACCATGCCCAAAGCCGATCCACGCGGCATGATTGTAGCCTTATGAATTGGGTGTGCACCTTCAGTATTCAAGGCAACAATAGCGTGCCCACTTTCGTGATATGCCGTGAGCTGAAAACAAATAGTAAGAGCATTCAGGATGTGTAACCCATTGCCATAAATAAACAATACTCGACTGCAAATGGATTTAACTATACTGTCTTAGCAACCAGTCTCCTAAAATAATCGTTAACTTGTCCACAAAAAATTAAACTAATATGCCAAGCATTATAATATTCATTAAGTTAAATATTACTAATAATTCAGGTTTTTTAAGCAGAAGTCCAGTTAACTTTTCTATTCTAGGATTCAAGCGAGTCAATTTCAATAACTAGCAGGGCAGTTCAGTGTCATCACAAATTGATGCATACAACTCAACCCAGACAATTGAAAAGCGTAATCCAACTGTAACAGAATAAAACTATTGATGTAAAGTGTTAATAGATCCAACACCAATAAGGCAAGATGTGGATAAGAAATATTAATAAAGCAACAGGCACCTTCTTTGAATCTTCTGACAGAAACATTGTTTTCCTTTCTGTGCCCATCATTATCCTGTCTTTGGCAAACTCTAACTGGGATGCAGTCAACTTCTCAGCGCCTTCAACAGCAGCCTTAATGGCAGCAATATTGACCAAGTTCGCAAGATCTGTTCCAGGAAGTGGAGTCGGGAACAAAATAGAATCCACTTAAGTCTCAAATTGATTCACGGATTTCAATACATGCAATTATTGTTTAATCAATCTACTCAAAAATACATCATATTTACATTTTTCCATTACACAGATCCAAGAAGTTCAAGCAGGCACGTATCACATAATCATGGACAACCTCAGAACACTATAAACTACAGATATCATGAATCATGTACTCTACAGAAAAATGTTTTATGGCAGACTGCAATTGAATAGAAAATAAAGTAGAAGTATATCATGCCTGCCCCATTGAATCCTGGAGTACCGCGAGCAATTGCTTTCACATCAATATCATCAGCCAATGGTTTGTCTTGTAAATAGAGGTCCAATATCTCTTGACGACCTCGTACATCCGGATTAGGAACAACAATCTGAACGGAATGGATGCACAAATCAAAAAATAAAAAATGCAAGGAGTTAAAACTAAATTAACAGAAGGAAAAAAATGAGTTTAAATCATCTAACATATTAGCACTGCTTTATTAAGTATCCTCATTCCTTTGCACTATCATTTTCCTTGTCCCAAAACCAGTACTTTAAAAATGCCAATAACCAGTACCCCAAAACTCC